TCGTAACTCTTCGCTTGGGAAGCATAGAAGCACCAAGGTGTTGCAACATCGTAGTGCTTACCATTACCACGGTAGCTGCAAAGCGTGCAGCCTCATCTGTTCCTATACCGCCCATGCTGCGGACCTTCACTATTCCTTTTTTCTTGCCTTATTACTTTCAACTTCCGTATCGTCTTTTCTTCGTTTTAAAAATTTTTGTCGTCTCACAGGGTTCATGATTTGTGGGCAAGTCTTCGCCCTTGGTAAGGATTCAAACCCGTACTTGTGCTATCTGAGCACGCTCCTCGATCCCTTACACTACCGCGGCACCGCTTACCCTTGCCTTCTTCATGGCTTATGCACCATAGCTTATCAACATTCACGCGTACATTTTTGTGAGCCAGTCAGTATTAAACCGTTCTAAGATTTTCTTGTTGAAAATTCTTTGACTCGATGTTTTTTTATCTGTAGTCATACTATGGGAGTCCACTCTGATAACACGAGAGAAATTTCGCGTCCCAATTTGAGTACATTGACAGTGAAACTATTTTTTGATGTTGCACGAGCTCGACGCAGACGACTTAGTTTTGACCCACATATCCCACTCCCACTTCGGACCATGTATTATAGTTCTCCCTCGATTTCGTGTTTATGCCGTTCGGTAGCAACCGAACTGAAGAGGTTTTATGGGAAGATAAGGTTTAAAAAGTTAAACCAATACCAACCAACCATCTTTTGCAAGAATCCGACTACCACATTTCGCGCCCTAATCAGCCATCGCATTCTTACCGGCGTGTGGCACCTCCTTTCAACGTAATCCACCCTCAAATTTATAGGCTCTTACCCCCTTACTACGTGACCCTGCCAAGGCATGCCAATATACAAGCAAACTTTTGATGAGGTATCAAAGAGGACAGGTACAAATGAAGCTCAAACAGGATCCGAAAATTAATCGTCCCATTAAGTAGTGTCTGTTCGGAACCTATCGAAAACTGGCAAACTAAGCAGTTTTCCTCAGGGAAGTTTGACTTCAAATTCGAGGGATAGCTAGAGCTTTTTATATGGCCCGTTTTGGATCTAGACTTTCAAAAAAACTTCATGCCTCTGTTTTTTTCTGGCACGACAGCTAAGATTTGTCCTGAGTATTGTATTGAAAAGTACCTGTTCTGCGATTTTCCAGGGCTCACAGCAAGAGCGAGTGTTCCACGGATTCGGAGCTGGTCGTGTACAATCACAGCACCGCGCCTCTTTCTTCCCAGTGCAGACTTGGAAAGAGGGATAAGCAGAAAACCCTGAAATTCAATCTATAAATTTTGTTTAAGTTTTTACAAAGGCTGGGTACTTCACCTTCCATTTATTCTTCTTTCAATGGTAGGGGCATGGCAAACCAGAAAACATTTTCCGTTTGGTAGAAGGCATGGAGCTCTCTGGGTAGGACCATATCGTGTTCGCTAGTAACCAAATGGGTGGCATATCCATCTCATGTAGGCTATTCACTAATGACAGTCTTTTTGCCCTTTGAAAGGTTTCACAAATCGATTTTCCCTAAAACGAGTGCCTTTGTAATTCAGTTCCGGTTTTTCCACGATCCTCAGAAATTCTCCAAAATTGAACCAAATTGAACCCACAAGCACTATTAATCGTAGCCATTCAACTTGCTCCACCTGTTGTCTGGCTACTTCAAACTTTGATAAAAATTTTTTGGGAAAAAATCTCCACAAAACTTGGTCCAAATCCAAAATACGGTGCTCTAAACAACCATTCCTCAGTAGTTCTGGTAATGGTAAAGTCAAGTAGAGTGTAATCATTAGAGACCGGAATGGGAAGGGAAGGGTGAACAGGAGGTGAATCTCAAATACATAACTCAAAATTTCAACAAAAAAGGTCATCACTTAGCAGCTTGGTATTTACAAATTATGAATTCTGCCCACACCTCCCCTTGGAGGTGGTGGTTAGATGGGAATCCGGGAAGGATCACTAGCAGCCTCTCTCACACATGTTCAACTCCAGTGTCCTGACTACTTCTATGGATTTTTCCGTTTCCATTTCGATAAAGCAATCCTTCCTAGACTGAGCTGGGAGTAATGTAAACCGAGCGCTCTCACATCCTTGTTCTCCCGATCACATTTAGTGCATTCATTGCAACAACCTTTGCTCGAAACGATTTTTTGCTATGCTTTGCAGCTGTTTATGCTTTTCAATGCCCATTGCTTTCATTCCATGATTTCATTGATAAGGGCAACATCAGCGACCGATGTGTCATATGACGATGGGCTCATCGGTGGGATCATCGCTGACTGACATCATCATCAGGTTATCAGGTGGTGAGCATCTATCATCACATCGGGAAATATCCTGAATGACATTCAAAGCGCTCAAACCAACAAAAAACCACTTGCTAGAAACTGACAACAAAGTCCACAGAGGTCCTGGAAGATCCCAGAGCCACAGAGGTCCTGGAAGATCCTGCTTATATCTTATGGGAATCGTAAGCGTTTGAATGTCGCTCTACAAATCAGGAGGTAGAATAAGTCAGGGTTTCAAGTTGTTCAACTGGTAGTGGTAGAGAAGGTGGAAGCTCTTGCGGAGTTTGTGGAAGGTGTAAATTCGACCCATTTATGTCACTCATACAGATATTTAATCAGCTATTCAGTAAGTCCAGCCAGTAAACGAGCAAGCCCGAAAGCAAATCAAGCAGGTCCGACAAATAAAGTCTACCTCTCGACTAAAAAAGAGAGAGGACCGATCTTCTCTACTGCTACATTATCACTTTCTGTATTGTTCTGAAAGTTACATTTACCTGAGGATAAACGTATTGATTGTTATTGATTGATAGACTTGTCTCATAAAAAGAGCACCAGCCTCTGAATGCGATGCAAGCTTGGAGTTACTGAAAACTTGGAAACGGTATTTAACCAGTAAACATTACAGTACGACACAAAATTATTTCATATATAATACAACTATTACGCTCACAAGATGTTGTGTAACCAGCTTTGTATGGAAAAAATGACAGAAAACGGCAGACGGCAATGGCAATTCAAGAATTTCTGTTGACTACATGAATATCTCTTTCGCTTACTGAACCACGAGCATGCAACAGAAATAAGAAAAAACTGAAGGAAAAATCATGTAAATAATTACAAAATCAATAAAACTAATGGGAAAGGAGATGAGGTGGTGGTGTCGAAGTGGCGACTCTGCCACCCATATGGATTGGGGATCAAATGTTGAGTCGATAGCCGTCCGATACCAAAATTAGGTTGGTCATCGCCTGAAAATATGAAATTACTACACATGTTTTTCAGTAAAATGGAATCAAGACTGTTAAGAGAACAATGAGAAAGAAAAACAACGATAGTATAAACAAATGGCAAGCTTAGAACTGCTCTTCGCATATCCGACAGGATCTCAGGGATTGATTTAACGTTCGAGCTCAACCTTCGACATTCGTTTTCCCTGAGCATCAGCTGACCGTTTTCGATATTGTGAAAGAGAATTCATAGAAAATTCCCATCAGGGTGAGGGCGCAGCAGGGCCGTGAAACCGATGACTTGGGCTTTTAGAGTCCTATTTCGTTAGCTTCTCCAGCAGCATACTTGGCATTGTCCACTACTCCTTAAGGGTGCGTTCGAGATCCTAGCACTAAATGTGACCCTTGTGTTCCTTCGATTTTATTCCAGAAAAAGGAGAAACCGCAGGCTTTGACCAAAGATTTTGAAATCCAAAACAGAGCCCAAGTCTTTGTTGCTTCATTTGCGGGAATTCATAGAGCTGAAGAACCTAAAAACGAGTTGAACCTTGGCTATCGTGGTTCCTGTGGGTACGGCTGAAGTTTCCGGTCGATTCAGCGACGCGTAGTTTCTGAACCGCAACCATCTATCCGAGAACCGGCGTCCCTACCTTCACTGCCACGAGCGTTACGACTTTTCAAGGTCTCTTCCATCTTGAACACTCATTTGAAAAGCCTTTACAGTTTCAAAT